AAATTCTTATTAGTTAGGGTTAATTATATCATCATCATGGTCTAGATTTTTGTGGAAAGGATAATGTTGCTTGAAATTATCTCAAGAAATCTAATTTTTTTATATTTTATTCATATTATTATATAAACGTAGAAAAGAAAATATGGTGCAAAATATGGTACTAGGAGCTGAGTATAGTTGGCGCTAGCATCGAATACTCGATTACGTGGATGGAGATTAAAATTGGAAACGTAAGGAAATTTAGCACTTGTTATTATTTAACGAATTGATTAATGTGTGCATTAATATTTTACACTCATGATACAATATTCGTAGAACTACTCCTCTGTCTTTCTCACGACAACCATTGAAATACATATCGAGACATTTTATAAAATATCGTGACTTTATCTCTCGTTTTAACGTAAAATTTCCCTTTGTTGGAGATGTTTCCGCGGATTCTATAAATATGAATGACGTTATCTTATTTCGAAAAATACGATTTTCCTTTTCTTGCGAAGAATTATTACGTACATAATGTCTTTCTCTAGCAGAGAGCTAAGAAAGCGATGTTTCAGTTTATACAGCGTGACATTTTCACTTGGAAGACGAATTTACGAACTTAGGGGGAACGTCATTCTTCGTGAAAAGAAAAAAAAAAAAAAAAAGAAAAAAGGAAATCCAACATCTTTTTAAGGAATTTTATAAAAATCGGATAATAAACTCGCTTTGAGTTATAAAAATATCGTTCCCTTTTTACGCAAAGAAACTGGAGTCTTAAAGATATTGTAAGACGTGTGTAAGGAAATAAATTCGTATAGAAATACACGTTTCTAGAGAAGAAACTTAATATTTTTTTAAACATCTTTGTGCCGTGACGTGTAAAAATGTAATGATATCACGACGTAACTTCATTTTCTCTCAAAGTTATTCGATTTTCTTCCTTTCGAGGAATCCATTGATTTTATGGAAATTGAACATCACCATTCCGTATTAAAGAATAGCCCTTACCATGAACTTTGTCTCGCAAAAAAAATAACCTTTCCAGCTTATATTTAATATTTTAGAAAGGACATCATTGTTCATGCTTTGAACGTATTTTCCTCCTCTGATGAAAGTTTTAATAATGTAATAACCAGGCTCCAATATAATATTTTATACATTGGTGATTTAAGTATATGAATTTATATTGTATTTCGTTTTGGATAAATATTTACATGGATAATTTTTCACACGTAATATTATATGGTGTATATATATTTTTTTATATCGAATAATGTTATTATTAAAGTGAAATTTATTGTGAAAAATTTTATTCGTATTTTGACAAATTTTCATAAACGTATTAAATTTTGAAAAATAAACTTTTTGATAAATTTGTATAAATGTCGTCAATATCGTCATAAAACATCACACTTTTTTTCAGAATATGACATCCACTCATTCAACGAGAGGAGAGCCACCACGAATTATGTTAAATAAATAAAAACGTGTGATGATAAATAAAATGGACACATTCAAAAATGAGCACGATTAAAATTTAAAAAATTGGAGGCAATAAATTCTTCACGAACACGTTGCAAACAATTATTCCCTCGACACGCAATCTCTCATCTTTTATTGACGTATTAACAACCAATAATTTGCCATACAATTATTTTATTAAAACTTAATAACGTTAATCTCGGGGATAACCGATAAATATTTTCCCAAATGCAACAATTTTCACAAGCAAATTACGTTCCCTAAAATTAACGAATATTTACCACCATTGATACGCGGTATATATTAGATACGGTCTCACACCGTATTATAATACATTAAACTCTATGGACATGCCTGTTTCGTTTTTAAATCCCTTAGAAACTAAATTAAATTACTTTATTATATCTCACTGTTTTATCGAACAAATATATCGAAAAATATACGAGGAAGAATTAAAAATAATTCTAAAAAAATAAATAAAAAAAAAAAAAAAAAAAACACGATCCATTACGTACATCAATATTACCCTACCCTCTTCACTACAGTCAAGACAAGAAAAGAATCCACAAAAACCTGCTCGTCACCTCTTCCCAAAAAATAAAAAAGAAAAAAAAAATAAATAAAACAAAGAAGAAAACAAATCACTGCCCCAAATCCAAACCTCGAATCATCTCTGTGTCAATCACACGCCATGCCAAAATCTCCTCCTCCTCCTCCTCCTCCCCTTTCCTGAGCGAGAAATCTCGCTAACGAGAGTCGGTCGAGATCTCGGTCGATTTTTCCCCTTCTTCCCCTCCCACCCAAGTGGAACCTGGCCAAAGTCTCTCCTATTTATAATAAGATACCGGTAGATGAGCCGGGCGGAGGAAAGCGTTAGGGGCGCGCGTCCATCCGCCAATCCCTCCCCCCCCCTTCTGCCCCCCTCCCGAGAGTTTTCAAGGAGGGAAAGAGAGCGTAGGATACGGTGGCGCGCGTTAGTATATACCCCAGGGGTGTGATAGTGGTACGATGTATGGTTATTGGCCGGCTGGCGGCATCGATTCTCACGGCGAGGGAGCCACAGATCACCCGGAAACTGAAACTCCCGCCGTATACTCCCCCCTCCTCCTCCTCCACCTCCTCCTCTCTTCGGCAGATCGC